CCTCTACTTGAGCTTGAGGGTTCTGCACAGTATCTAATGTGATCTAATGATGTTTTCATGATATTTTCTTTAACAACACACACATACATGTGTATGTAAATAATCCACATCTCACCCTCTGCAGGTGGCCTCATCGTTCCAAGCTCTGGTTCTCTACCAGAGGCCTGAGAGCTGGAGGGTTCTGCCCAGTATGTTCCCACACTTTCTGGACTGAGATGTTTTACCCTTAAAAGCCGGGCGTACACTGTGCGACTTTTTCACTTTTTTGGGCCGATTTTCCAGTCGTGCGAGAAGCCACGACATCGGGGCGAGTTTTGCGCCGAGCGGTCGTGTAGTGTACAGGGGGTTACAAGAGGCGATTAACACCACGTGACCAGCCGCCGATCAGCAGTCGTGAGGTCGCAGGGACTTCTGGTGTGTTTAATATTTCGCTCGTCCCTCGTGAGGGTATCGCACTGTTGAAGCGGTGCTGCGAGCAGCTGCGAGCAGCTACGATCCAAAAAGTATCAGAACCGCTCACGGCGCATGCGCGAGCAATCCTGCATCAACGCCGGCCGGTCGCTCGCTATTTCCCTATTAACACACGCTGTTCGTTTTTGTTTCTACACGTTTTTTTTTACTCACAAAGATTGTCAAGAAAGCGTGTTTGTCGTGTTCATGTCAAATTAAACTGATCACAAAACACAGATTCCAGGGCCGGCTCTGGGTAATTTGGTGCCCAAGGCGAGAGTGCCCATTTGCCCCCCCCCCCCCCCCCCCCCCGCCTCTCACCCAAACCCAAGTCCACACATTGGAAAAAGCAGCTCCACAGTTATTCCTTAGTTACTAATTTTTTATTTTAAATATTCACACAGCAACTCTTTAAAGTCAACAGCCTGAAGAATAAATGTAAGCTTGAAAGATAAGTAACCTGAGAATATTACAATAACCAACAACTCAAAATGTTGTGCAAATGTCAGTGGGGGGGGGGGGGGGGATGCAAAATCAACAACTGTGCAATCAAAAGCAAAACTCAAACATCAAAGTGTCATCATAAAGAAAGTTCTACTTTCCATTTTGTTCTACTGCTGTGGCCAGTCAGCAGGATCCATGGGGCCAGCAGCTCATACATGTTCACACACATCTGTTGAAGCTGATGATGGTGTCTCTTCAGGCTGTTGGATTGGAGCACTGAGTCTGCTGGTGTTGGGTTCTTCTTCTGTGAGAAAATACACACACACACACACACACACACACACACACACACACACACACACACACACAGCAACTTAACCCTCTGATGCATGAATTAAGAACAGTGCCACTTTTACATTCAATATTCCTCGGTCATGTGCATTGATGCTTTTCACTATTTTTAATATTACTAGACTTTTTATTTTATTGATCTTTTTTAATCTGTTCTATGAAAACATGAATAAAATTATCAAAAACAGGTGGAAGTGGGGAATATTTGAAAAAAACGTATGTCTCACTCTCAGGTGCTCTTCAGCATCAAATAAATCGTAGAATATGAGGAAGAAGATCCAGTGATCTGAGGCACTCTGAGGATTTCATTTATTAAACAAGGAAACACCGACACATTTCGGTACGACCTTCTTCAGGGCATAAACCTTTATACCTTGAAGATGACTCACTAATGTCACAAAAACTAATGTCCATCCTTTTTTACAAACTTACAGCCTAATTGACAATAACATCTTAAGGAGACAATTTTAGATGTGTATGTTCTCATTATTTAATATTCTCAAGGCTAAATCAATGCTGCACTGATTGTGCCAAAAACAAGTGTCTGGTGTGGATTTAAATAAATTAATTTTGCATATCATATGTGATAAGCCGTTTAATTTGAAAAAGTCCGTTTCTACTGCTGATTACAAATAGCCTAACAAGTAACTTACTCACCTGGTTCTAGATGCTGAGACTGTAGCTCAGTAAATGTGCTGCTGCTGCGTGATGCCTGGATGAAGACACTGCAGCGTAAACAAGAAAGAGACGGCATAAGATGTCATGCTGTGTTTAGGCAGTTCTCACTCCCCGCCGGGCCCGGCGGCAGCGGGGGAGTCACCGCCACGGCCGAGGCGGTGCCGCCCGCCCGATGTGTCGGACAAAGTTGAAAATTTGCTACACCCACACCTAACGTTCTTCTGATATACAAATATTAAATTCATATTGTATGCGTACTTAAAACTTGAAACAACGTTCATAAAAGGCTGCAATCAAGCTCCAAAAACCAGTAAAAAAATCTTACATTCTTCATCATCACAGTGAGACTCAACATTGTCTCACTGCATCTGGACATGACGATTCAAAAGTAAAATGAATGGGTTAAAGTTACAGATATTGTATTGTGTGTGTAAACAGCTAGCGAGGGTCCGTCCGTGGACCATGCGTGGCAGGAGAGGCAGTTAGCTACAATGCTAACGCAAAAAGTTCCTTTGCAAAACTTATAAAGTCTACATACCTCTGCTTTGGGCCCGTTTTTATTCTTCTTCCTTCCTTCGCTTTCGGAATGCTGATCCCGATGGCTTAGGTGTTCTTTTCCTTGTAAAATATCAAACGTTTAAACGCGACAACAGGATGTCCTTCTACAGTGCCACCCACACACGTAACTATGGCAACCTTAACGGTCAAATGCTTTGGAGCGGTGGCTCAAGCGGGAGCTCGAAATGCAGCCAGATCATTAGAATTTAAATATTGATGTTTTCATTTCATGTCATTTCAAAGGGGAATTTTGAGTATGTAGAGAGCGCTTTTCATATAACAAACATGAATTTAATGAACTTTTTTTTTTTTTTTTTTTTGAAATTTTGCGCCCTATCCATCAGATGGCGCCCCAGGTGGCCGCCTGTGTTGCCTGTCGACAAAGCCGGCCCTGACAGATTCACTTTCTTTATGTCGTTTTCCTCATCCAACCCCCATAAATCCCTGTGTGTCCTCCTGCAGCACTCCCGAAGGACAACAGGCAAGACAAAAAAGTCTGACGTGTTGAGTAAAAACTGCTATTTTTAGCACATTTTTAGGGCCGACGTGTTGCTACCAGACGTACAGTGTGAGCAGTCAGGTCGCATGCGAGAACTGGGTCGTACAGTGTGAGCACACGACTCGTGAGATCTGCCCTGCGAGGAAGTCGTACAGTTTGAGCTGAAGCTGAGCGCTGCGAGTGAAAAAGTCGCACAGTGTACGCCCAGCTTTAGCCACTCCTCCAGTTTGGGGGTCACTGTCCCAGTGCTGTTGTTGGCAGGCATCTTAGTTTTAGTCTTAGTCTTGATGACGAAAAAGCATTTCAGTCTTAGTCGTTTTTAGTCGACTAAATCTCTAAAAGGTTTTAGTCAACAAAGATTTTCGTGTTGAAGTTTTCAAAAACATTAAACAGAGTATTCTTCTCTTAACAAATGAATGTAAAGGTCAGACGTGCACTCTGAGCTACTGGAGTGAGTTTCATACCAACATAATGTATTTTATGGGTATGGGACACAATCTCAGCTGCCCCAGATTTAGTAAAACATTAATCCCCAGACTGGTATAATTTATTTTTTACTTTATTGATAATCACAATAGTGTATATAATTTATTGATGCAGATCTGTGCATCATTCTGTAGATTAAGAAATTTATGATTTTCTTTCCGTAACAGGATGGACTCTTAGGGTGCATACAGTATTCTATACAATATTTAAATATAAATAAAGAAATGTGTTTGTTTAATTATTTGAGTTATCAGACCTCCATCTTAAATGTATATTGTGGCAAAGTTCCCCTACTTAAATGCAGTAATGTTTTTCTACAGACGCAGTGTTGTGAGTTTTCACGAGCTTACAGAAATAATACAAATCACCCAGTTCTGCCCTTGAGCATCAGCATAGCTCATAAACATGTAGATGGGCTAGGGCAGGGGTCGGCAACCTGTTCCCATCAAAGAGCCATTATTACCCGTTTCCCACAGTAAAGAAAACAATGGGAGCCACAGCAGCCGCGGCGTTGTGGGCGGGGCCTACCCTCAGACAGCAGAGCGCTGCTCACAGCAGGTGACAGCAGCCGGTACCGGTCGCTCGTGTACGTCAAAGCTATCTTTCATAAGAAGATAATCAATAAAACGATTTATATAAAGTGGATCCAGAAGTTGTAGCCCGTCTCTGCCTACAATATTTAGATATTTTTTACCCTGTTGGTGGTTTTACTGAGCAGGTGCCACTTTTGTCATACGTTTCTTTTTAAAACATGTTTAGACTGTTCAGAATACAAATCCAGGCTCTGTCACGTTTGATTGTTGTAATTAAACTTTGTAGGTGGGGAAGGTCAGAAAAGGATCCGATCATTTTGTTTTTCCCTCATTTACAGTGACGGAGATAACGGCGCAGTGCGCCTGGCTCTGGTGTTAATCAAGTTAAATTATATCTCTTTGCAACAATTTTCACAAGAAAACAGAACAGTTAAAAGCAGGGCTTGTGTTGACCGGATAGTTCCCGTATTTGACCGTTTATTTTGACGGAGAAAGAATAGAAAGAATTACCCCGACGCATGCAGACGAACTGACGTTTTATTTGTTACGCACATCGCAGATGTAGCTAAATCACTCAAGAAAAGATTCCCATCTGAACATCTGAGCTGGACACTGCTCAGCGCAGCTCGCTGTCAGCGCGTACGTAAGGTGCACAGCGAGCTGAAGATGTGGAGAGGGGCTTGGAGCGCGTCGCAGAACCAGAGCGCATGCAGGAAGATTCCTCCGACTGAAGCGAGTGTTTTCCAAACCCTGTCTCTCAGAGAGACTTGTCACTTAGAAAATGTTCCCTGATTATGAAACTTTGGCTGAATAGCGCTTGTTCCTGTCTCCAATGTGGCAACACATCCAGGAGCCGTCTGAGGAGAATCCCAGAATCTCACATCCTCTTCAGCTCAGAAAGCGCCTATGATTACGCACAAGCGTGACCCAACCCGGTCTCACAGTAGACCGGGTTGGAACTGTTCAGGTTTACGCAGACAATCTTTACATTTAGAATTGGCATACAGATGTAAAATTAATTCAGTAAAATATAAAGCATTTTATTTAAATATCCATTCATTATTTTACAAGCACAGAGAGCCGCATCAGATGGATGGAAGAGCCGCATGCGGCTCCAGAGCCGCGGGTTGCCGACCCCCGGGTTAGGGCTTTCTCATGTGGGTGGGGAGCCAGCTTCACTCAGCTATTAAGGCTGGTCTGTAAACAGAGGACACACAGTCAGCAGCAGCAGAGCTGTTACTTTTAACTGTAGTGAGACAGGCAGAAATGTGTATTTTGAGCATAGTTTTCGTCTAGTTTCGGCTCGTTAACAAAAACTCCTGTTCCTCTCGTCATGTTTTAGTCACCAAAGAGCTTTTTTTTTAGCTCATCAGCATCTCGTTTTCCTTATGAAAAAAAGGGGGTGTCAACAAAATCAATTTGTCACCGTTTTTGTTAACGAAAACAACACTGCGCTGTCCTGAGTGCCCCGATGACCACGGGCACCACCAAGTTCTTGTTTGAGGCCCTGGTACTTTTCTAATTTCTCTGAGAACCTTGTCTCCACCCAAGACTTACCTGAGGGGCCCCACAGAGGAAACTCAGAAGGGAAAAACAAAATCTAAAATATAACAGAAGATAAATATAAATAGATAAATAGTGTTGAATACAATTATATGAATAATAAAATAATCTAATATTGATAAAGTTAAACAGTAATCAGTTAAAAGCTTAGTTAAAAACATGCATGCTCCCTGCAGCATGTTCCAGAGACGAGAGCCATGGTACTGGAAAGATGCCTCACCATGAGTGTGTGTCCTGACTTTAGGGATGACAAGGAGATGGCTACCATAGGAGCACAGAGGCCACGAGGGTTCTCAAGATAAGATAATTTCTGAGAGATAAGAAGGTCCAAGCCCTTTAAGACATTTAGAATAATTTTAGAAAACCTTAAAATGTATCCTAAAATGGTAAATGGTAAAAAGGTAAATGGTAAATGGCCTGTATTTGATATAGCGCCTTCTAGAGTCCTGGAACCCCCCAAGGCGCTTTACAACACAGTCAGTCATTCACCCATTCACACACACACATTCACACACTGGTGGGGATGAATTACAATGTAGCCACAGCTGCCCTGGGGCGCACTGACAGAGGCGAGGCTGCCGAGCACTGGCGCCACCGGTCCCTCTGACCACCACCAGCAGGCAACGTGGGTCAAGTGTCTTGCCCAAGGACACAACGACAGCGACAGACTGAGCAGGGCTCGAACCTGCAACCTTCCGATTACAGGGCGAGCACTTACAGTAACTCCTGTGCCACCGTCGCCCCAAAAGATACAGGGTGCCACTTCAATGATTCAAAGACCGGTGTAACGTGCTCCCACCTCCTAGTCTTTGTTACGACGTGCTGCTGAATTTTGTAGAAGTTGTGAATTGGAGATACTCTTTTTGGGAAGACCAGAAAGCAGGGCATTGCGATAGTCAGTATCTCTGTACTATCCCAAGAGATAATGGAGCGAACTCTGGCAATGTTCTTTGGATGATAAAAATTAAAAAAACAATTTTGGTGATGTTTTTAATGTGAAGGATAAAAGACGGAGGGCTGCGCAGAGGTGCAGTGGTTAGAGCTGTTGCCTTGCAGCAAGAAGGTCCTGGGTTCGATTCCCGGCCTGGGATCTTTCTGCATGAGTTTGCATGTTCACCTTGTGCATGCGTGGCTTCTCTCCGGGTACTCCGGCTTCCTCCCACAGTCCAAAAACATGACTGTTAGGTTGATTGGTCTGTCGAAACTGTCCTTAGGTGTGTGTGTGTGTGCATGATTGTCTGTCCTGTGTGTCTCTGTGTTGCCCTGCGATGGACTGGCTCTCTGTCCAGGGTGTACCCCGCCTGATTGCCCATTGACCTCTGGAGATAGGCACCAGCTGGTGTCCACCAGCGAGTTTGAGGGTTGCTGCCACGACAGGCACTGACGACCCTTTTGCCACAGCTCTGGTGGACTGCCTCAACAATGAAGTTACAGAACAGGGATCATTCAGACTCAATGTCCCTAGGAAGGTTTTGGAAGTTCTGTTGAAGGTGGAGCTCCTTCTGACAGGAGACTCTGCCAGGTGTTCCTTGTAAATCCTCACAATACACTTGAGCCTGCCGGGTCTGACCAGCATCCTCCCCCACCATTGGAGCCAACTCACCACCAGGTAGTGGTCAGTTGAACGCTCCAACCCTCTCTTCACCCAAGTGTCCAAGACATGCGGCCGCAGATCAGATGAAACAACAACAAAGTCGATCTTCGAGCTGCGGCCTAAGGTATCCTGATGCCAAGAGCACATATGGATACCTTTATGCTTGAACATGGTGTTCGCTATGGACAATACATGATGTGCACTGAAGTACAGTAACAAAACACCATTCAGATTCAGATCGGGGGCTGTTCCTCCCAACCGCACCTCTCCAGGACCCACTGTCATTGCCATAACGAGTGTTAAAGTTGTCGTCGTCTTCCTCCGCTTATCTGGGTCCGGGTCGCGGGGGCAGCATCCCAACTAGGGAGCTCCAGGCTGTCCTCACCCCAGCCACCTCCACCAGCTCCTCCGGCAGGACCCCAAGGCGTTCCCGGACCAGATTGGAGATGTAACTAACCTCTCCAACGTGTCCTGGGTCGACCCGGGGGCCTCCTGCCGGCAGGAGATGCCCAAAACACCTCCCCAGGGAGGTGTCCAGGAGGCATCCTGACCAGATGCCCAAACCACCTCAACTGACTCCTTTCGATCCGGAGGAGCAGCAGTTCTACTCCGAGTCCCTCCCGAATGTCCGAGCTCCTCACCCTATCTCTAAGGCTGAGCCCGGCCACCCTACGGAGGAAACTCATTTCGGCCGCTTGTATCCGCGATCTCGTTCTTTTGTTCATTACCCAAAGCTCATGACCATAGGTGAGGACTGGGACGTAGATCGACTGGTAAATCAAGAGCCTGGCTTTCTGGCTCAGCTCCCTCTTCACCACGACAGATCGGCTCAGCGTCCGCATCACTGCGGATGCTGAACCAATCCGAGTGTTAAAGTCTCCCATCAGAATGAGGGAGTCACTGGAAGAAGCACTCTCTAGCACCCCCTCCGAGGTCTCCAAAAAGGATGGGTAGTCAGGTGGTGCTGCATGGTGGAGCAGGTGTTAGCACTGTTGCCTCGCAGCAAGAAGATCACAGGTTC